CGATTTTTATCCCCAAAATGAACGGCTTAAAATGTCCAGTCGGGCTCAGTTTACGCTCAGGGTGAAGTTTCTGGGAATGACAAGAAAATTCCAAGTCATTAAATGTCATTTGCCCACTTAAACATTGAAAGGATATTAAATTCCAACCAAATTATTAATGTTTTTGCATCAAGTTCCCAATTATCAACACACAGTTAAAAATGCTGTATTTAGGGGTGCAGCAACCCAGGAAAATATTGATATTCTGCTATTTCATATCAAATTAAACCCTAAATTAGTGTCATCCAGCTAACTGGATTTTAGGATACCTGGTGGTTGTCAGTTTTGGAATTCTGGGAAAATATTCATCTCTGAAAGTTCCTTAACAGTATTTTAATTCTTTCGTTGTTCATTCATTTTAATTGTGATGATCCAGAAGAATTAACTCACATTTTGGGGAGGGGGGGGGCTTTTCCTCATGTTCCTCTCATTGGCCTGAAATTTGGGATCTGCAGAATTATTATTTCAAGTCCTGTCAGATAAATTCCTGCTGGGTAACAGAGTCTGGCCCCAAAACCCCCCACTTAGTTCCTCTGTTTAATTATCTTCTTTTCCTTCAGGAATGTATTTGGATCTGTAAGGAGAGGCTTTGAAATATTCCGTTTTTATTGATTTACATCTCGGGGATCCGTCATTAATATTTAGAGCTGCCTTTCAGAAAATACTTGTAATTTTTGTGTCTCAAACCTTGGCCATTTGCAGGGGAAGATTAAAGAGAAACACGAGTTATTTTGGGGGTTTATTTCAAAGCAAAAGCTGCTTTTTAATGAGGTTTAATTAGGGAATGAAAGATGCTGTCCTGGAATGTGGTGGTTTAGAGGTGTTTATCCTGCATTCCCAAATCCAGGTGAGGCAGGAAAACCTGGTATTAAGAAGCAAAATCCCATCTGCCTCAGATAATAAATAAATCCCAGTGTCCTGAGTTGGAAGGGATCCATATGGATCTGCCCCATCCCTGGGCTAGTCCAAGGCAAAAAAAAAAATGAATTTAAAGATATAAATATTGATGTTTTCTCAGCCCTGAAGTGGGATTATTCCCGGAACTGACATAGAGGTTTAAATTAATAAAGTTGCTGAAACTGGGGTAAGTTAATAGATATTGCCCAGAAATTTCTTTTAAAAAATGGGATTTCTCTTTTAAACTTCTACTTGGGGGGATTGATTTTTCTACCTCTGTCTCCCCCAAACCTGTTTTATGGACAAGCATTCCGTGCTAAAAGGGTGGGATGGGGCTAAACACGGGAGCAGCTCATTAATGGGTTTGATTCCATCAGAGAGGGAGATTTGGGCTTCACCCACCTTTTCCAGGAGGGAGAAATGAATATTTGAATGAGTCCTGAATATATCAGCAAGTCTTCATCCTTCAGTAAATCTGGGATGGGCACAGGAGCACTGAAAATGGGGTTTTCCTACTGCTGATCCAAGGGAAAAGGGGATTTTCAGTGAGAAATTCCTGTGGCCACCCGGATTTAATACATATTTGGGGCTTTGGGACCTTTTCTGCAGGAGAGGAGCTCGTGGGGGAGTGCAGGGCTTCCATTTCTAAAAATCCCTGTTAAAGACTCCTCCATGTTCCTAATCCTGCCAAATTCCTTGGCTTTAAAACCCAGATTTGGCAGGGGATGATTTTAGGGGCCGAGCAGCCTTCAGGGCACTCCTGAGGAGTTGTGATGGTGTTTAACCCTGAGCAGGCATCTCTCCCACATCCCTGTTCTCTCTCTCTCTCTCTCTCCCCTTTCCCAGACCATCCATGGCCACAAAGGGCCCATCACCGCCGTGGCGTTCGCCCCCGACGGCCGGTACCTCGCCACCTACTCCAACTCCGACAGCCACCTCTCCTTCTGGCAGGTGAGGACACATCCCAGCCCTCCCTCCTTCGGGAATTGGGGAAAAAATCCTGAGGGAGAGAAGGTCAGGCCTGGACAGGGCTCAGAGCAACCTGGGCTGGCGGAAGAGATGATCCTTAAAATCCTTCCGAGCCAAACCCGAAGAGTTAAACACCCTCCACATTTAGTTTTCAGATTCTTCCCTTCCGTGTCCCGTGCTTGGCACGATTATTAATGCAGGGAAATCGGGGGCATTAGTCATCTTAAAAGGGTTATTACTCAAGATGATTTAAATGGTGGCGGTGGCGGCTCCGTGATTTACACCCCGTGACACGGGGAGAACCGGGAGAAAGGGATGGCTCCGGCCTGGAACCGCTCAGGATTCAGCAGCAATAGCACCCCTGAAATATCCCCGGGTTTGCCAAGGTCTCCTGGGGGGGGGAGAAAAGCCCAGTGCTGCTGGTTCCTCTTTCCCTGGATTTTTAAAGGGAAAGGAATCAGCAGCATCGGGCCTGTTTTCCAAAGGGCAGAACTCAGGAGATCCCTGGGAGCGTTCGAGGCCGGGTGGGATGGGGCTGGAAGGGTTCAAGGCCAGGCCTGGAGCAACCCGGTCTGGTGGAACGGACCGGTACGAGATGATCCTTTAGGTCCCTTCCACGATCCTTCCGAGCGGCCTCTCGCTCAGCCCCGGGGCCGTGGGAGTTTGGGATGAGCTCCAGGCGTGCCTGGCAGCCCCCGGAAGGTGTGTGTGTGTCGTGCAGATGAACACGTCCCTGCTGGGGAGCATCGGGATGCTGAACTCGGCGCCGCAGCTGCGCTGCATCAAGACCTACCAGGTGCCGCCGGTGCAGCCGGCCTCGCCCGGCTCCCACAACGCCCTGCGCCTCGCCCGCCTCATCTGGACCTCCAACCGCCACGTCATCCTCATGGCCCACGACGGCAAGGAGCACCGCTTCATGGTCTAGGTGGGGCCTTCCCCGAAATCTGGCAGCTCCCCTGAAATCTGGGAGCTCCCGCCCCTCGCTGTGAGGGGAGCGCTGAGGGGATCGAGGGGATCCGAGGGGTTCCTGTCGGCTCTGAGGGGCTCAGCGGGAATCCTGCCTGGCTCTGGGGGGCTCAGCTGGGATCTGAGGGAATCCAGGATCTGAGGGGTTCCTGCTCGGCTCTGGGGGGCTCAGCTGGGATCTGAGGGAATCCTGCCCGGCTCTGAGGGGCTCAGCTGGGATCTGAGGGGCTCAGCTGGGATCTGAGGGGCTCAGCTGGGATCTGAGGGGCTCAGCCAGGATCTGAGGGAATCCTGCCCAGCTCTGAGGGAATCCAGACTCTAGAAGATTCCTACACATCTCTGAGGGGCTCAGCCAGGATCTGAGGGGCTCAGCGAGGATCTGAGGGGCTCAGCCGGGATCTGAGGGAATCCTGCCCGGCTCTGAGGGGCTCAGCTGGGATCTGAGGGAATCCTGCCTGGCTCTGGGGGGCTCAGCTGGGA